ACTTGAGATTTCTCTGTTCAATTAACCTATGTGGTCAAAAACATCCTAAGACTTCAAGATGACTGAATAACTAATGTCACTGTATTCAGGAAGAAGGTAAGCAAAAGGAGAAGTGCTGTTTTCTTTCCTCCCAAAGTGTGTGTGTGTGAGCATGTGTGTGTGCTGCTCTATGTATAAAGGGATAAAATGTCAACTACTGATAAATATAACTACTGTTACCAAACTTCAAAAATAAAGCCACCTAGAAACCTAATTAATATGCAAAGGTAAAAGCTACTGGGAAACAATAAAGGTGATCAAATAAAATTAAACTTGTGTAGCTAGAAGACAGGAAAATATTGGGGTTTGTATTACAAGAGTAAGTAGCAAATCCAAAAATCTTTCAGTTCAAGCCATATTAGTACAAATAAAATTAAATTAAAAGCCACTAGGCAGTATTTTCCACAACAAAGGCATCATTAAGGACTCAGTTTTTACTTAAATACTTCATATGTCACTTAAGAGACCAGGCACTTAGCCAACTACGCCCACGGCTATTTCCAAGTTTTGTTTAATCTAACCCATAATGTCAAAAATGTGATGGGATGCAGCAATGAAACTGAAACAATACTGTCCAAGCCATGTGTGACTTTATCATGTGTTAGCTTCTCTCAATCTGATAACCTGACCTATCTTCTCTCTCCCTTTAAAGATGGGACATAAGTAGGTTTGGTTCATGTAAATATCAATCACATTAATGTAAATTTCCCACTAAAACTGGAAAAATAGCTTAAAAACTTTCATTCAAGTTCCTACAAATTTCCTGATAAATATGAGCTTTCACAGATAATTAGAATGCTACATTATTAGGTGGTTTATTCTTTTTTGTTTGGTTGGTTTTCTCTGTGTAGCTTTGGAGCCTATCCTGGCACTCGCTCTGTAGACTAGGCTGGTCTCGAACTCACGGAGATCTGCCTGCCTCTGCCTCCCAAGTGCTGGCATTAAAGGCGTGCGCTACCAACGCCTGGCTCAAGAAAATGTTAAAAATTCTATGATGTGTGCTCACTTCTGCAGCACATGTACTGACAGCAGAACAATACAGAGAGCAGCATGGCCCCTGTGCAAGGATGACATGAAAATTCTATATTTTTTAATCCAATCAAAGGCAAATAGAAACTACGAATAAACACAGTGAACTACTTTGAAGAAAAAGAGAAAAAGTGTGAAATAAGACCAGTGTAGTCAAGACTAGCAAATGTAAAACCATGAGGGCCAAAGACCATATGCAAGTGGAGACAGACTTTGCAATTGCAGATTTCCATTATAATAAAAAGGCAACAAAGTGCTTGTTATGTTTTTGTGCCCACAGGTGAGAGCTACAGCCAGTTATTGTCAGAAAAACTTGTTTTTGTAGTGGGCAGAAGTAACTTCAGAGCTCGTAATGGTCACAGTAATGAGAAGACATGACTACTGAGTGCTCAGCGTGCGTGGGACACCTCATTACCCACTCTGAGGCTCAGAGAACATTACAGAACGGGTGGGAATAATGCGAGACATGGTGACGTGTTGTGGAACACTGCTTTCTGGCCATGGCATAGTCATCACACTGATTCTGCACATGGTCTCTGTAATGTTGGGCCACTCCACATGTTGCTGTGAAGGCTGCATTCCCTTGAGCATCTGTAGGTAGTTAGGGCTCATGAGGGAGGGAGACATTTTCTCCAGGGTTGCAAGCACTGGTGATGTGCCTGTGTTTCTGTAAATAACCCCTCACCTATGCCCTACATGCAACCATAATGAAAACTCTTTGGGTTCTCCTCCACCTCTTCCTCCTCCTCCTCCTCATCAACAAGAAAGAGGAAAAAAGATCAGTGCAGTAGGAAGGAAACAAGAGAGGGTCATGAGGAGTGAAGACACAGGAATGTATTACACATGTGTGTATGAAAATGTCATAAAGAAACCCAATCTCATATATAATTAGTATGTGCTAATAAAGCACAGTTCTTGAAAAAAGACGGGGGAAAAATGAAAAAATTAAACATAATTACCAGGGAGAAAGAGCTATATAATGAAGAGGCTGAAGTCTCTCTGAGGACACTACCTTGAAATTAAGAGAATCTGAGGGCTGGTGAGACGGCTCAGTGGTAAAATACTTCCTGCACAAGTCTGAGGACTCCAGCTAAATCCACAGAATTGAACAAGGAAAAAAAAGAGAACTAACTCCTGCAAGTTGTTCTCTGACCTCTTGGTACACACACACACACACACACACACACACACACCATAAGAATAAATAAAATTTATAATAAAACCATTTCAAACAGTCCCAAGAATCACAGGAATGTCCGGAGGCTGACTCACTGACAGAGCTTGAAGCCGAGTGTTCTAAGTTAAAGGCTGTGCCAGCAGGAAGGGGGAAAGCCGAACAGACTGAGATGATCAGTGCAAATGTGGCTGGAGAGGAAAGGGAACGATTAAGGAAAGTTGAAACAGAGTATATGACATGTCATTCTTTAGATAAAATATACAAGAAAGAAGACTTTAAAAATGCAGTGGACTTAAATTCTTAAAAGTAAGAGCAAAGGACTTACACAAGCAGGAAACACAGAGCTTTAACAACTAGAGAATTTGAAATGGATGCTTCAATGGCTATGTTAAACATGAGACCCACGATCTTCGTGGAAAATGGAAAATTATGTATTCCTCGGAATGAAAATAAACATTATAGCCAGGTGGTGGTGGCACACACCTTTTATCCCAGTACTTGGGAAGCAGAGACAGGTGGATCTCTGTGAGTTCGAGGCCAGCCTGGTCTACAGGGTGAGTTCCAGGACAGCCAGGTCAACACAGAGAAACCCTGTTTCAGAAAAACAAAAAACAAAACAAACAAAACAAAATGAAACACCCCCCCCACTTTATTACCAGATGTGGGAGTATATGCTATTCATTCCAAAATGGGTTGGGGCAGGGCACAGACCAATCTCTGTGAGTTGCAGGCCAGCCTGGTCTACACTGAGAGTTCCAGCCAGCCAGGGCTACATAGTCAGACTCAAAATAGAAAAAAAAAAAAAAAAGAAAGGGACAGATTGAGCAAGCAAGCATCACAAAAGCAGTATGGCCACCTCCTCGAGGACCAGAGGACTCTGGGAAGACACGCACTATGCCGCATCATCTTGTACCAGAGAACTAGATCATCAGGTGACAAAAACGCAAAGAAATTAAAGGAACAATAATGATTCAGTGCAATTCAGAAATCTGCAAATGGAATGAAAGGAATAGTAATAGTTCAATGCAATTCAGAGATCTACAAAAGGATGGCTGAAATGGCAGCTGAAGATTCTACAGGAAGAGAACTGGGAAAGTGCAAACAGCTATGTTTAGAGGCATGCGGCCTTAGAAAACCATCCACACGGACTAAACAACACTAATTCACGTAACACACAGGAAGTTTGCTGAAGGAAGCAGAACAGAACTTGGAAGGCTCTGAGAACAAGGCCCAGAGTACCCTGGGATTATGAGTATGACACTAGTGTCAAACTCAGCCCCAGGTTTATTCCAAGCAAAGAGCAGTGATTCCTAGGCCAACCCTCGCCTTTCTGAGGGCAGGCAGAAGAATCCATGCAAGAGGTGACCAAAATTGGCAAGATGATACATACTGAAGAGGTAGAGGCAGTCACTGTGGAACGTAGTCCTTTGAAATTATTCCTCAGAATCTAGAAAAGTCAAGATTGGACTTTAGAGAGTAAGAAAAATATGAACAGATGGTGAGGAAAAGGTTCTTTCTTTCTTTCTTTCTTTCTTTCTTTCTTTCTTTCTTTCTTTCTTTCTTTCTTTCTTTCTTTCTTTCTTTCTTTCTTTCTTTTTTTCTTGGTTTTTCACGACAGGGTTTCTCTGTGTAGCTTTGGAGCCTATCCTGGCACTCGCTCTGGAGACCAGGCTGGCCTCGAACTCACAGAGATTCCCCTGCCTCTGCCTCCTGAGTGCTGGCTGAGGAAAAGGTTCTTACTAAAGATGACAAGATATACAACATTTTGGTAGTGTCACATTAAATGTATTTCGTGAAAACTTTAAAATGGACTTTTCCTTTCTTTGTAGCACTCCTACTTTTAAAGGTCATGTTTCTAGACATGGTTGGGCTGTCCAGACTCCTAAAACAATGTGTGTAATTTAACCCACTATTATAATCAAAGTATTATACTGAAGGATCTGACAACAGGACACAAGAAACCATTTAAAAAAAACTCAACAGATGACATAATCAGCAATATTTAGAAAAAAAAAACCCCTTAAACAAAAGCACAAAGCCACTCTACTTAATGTTCTAGTTCTTGAGCAAGGGATTGGGGCAGGGGCAATGACAACAAACGACCAAAAATGTGTTTGCACTTTTTTAACTCTATGAAGCAAAACCATGAAGCCATCACTATCGTTATACATAGAAGACCAGAAATCATTTCAAACCCAATAAGCACCAAAACTTCAAGCTGTGTTTTCCCACCATATATTACAGATTTGGTTACAAGGAGCTTATTCTAATGATCTGATGAGTTGCCTGGTGCTAAGTGGAGCTTAGTTCAAAATGCTCTGAGGATGCCTTGCTGTCAATCACTACTCTGGCTGCTGCTCTAAGGATGCCTTGCTGTCAATCACTGCTCTGGCTGCTGCTCTGAGGATACCTTGCTGTCAATCACTGCTCTGGCTACTGCTCTGAGGACGCCTTGCTGTCAATCACTGCTCTAGCTGCTCTGAGGACGCCTTGCTGTCAATCACTGCTCTAGCTGCTGCTCTGTCTCTGCTCAGGGCTGTGTGTGACCCAACAGATCATGTGCTGTCAAGGAAGCCAGCGCAGTTGGAAGGCACAAAGCTGGGTGTTGGTGGTCATTTTGTTCTTACTACTTATTTGTAGAAGAATCCATTTGCTTTGGGGTCCTGCTTCAGTTATCTCCATGAAACTGAATTTCCATGGGAAGAGAGTTCATCTTTTGCTTCATAAGCTTCAGTAGCCTTGAAAGACACATAAATGAACATTTGGGGCTAACCTTTAATTACCAGAATTGTGAATGGCATAATTGCAATTTATCATTGAAAATTCATTTAGCATAATATTTATCATCATATTTTCTTTAAAATCTATCTTATAGCATTTTGTTCCTATGTATGGCTTAGCAGTTCATAAAGCTAAAGAGCATACTGATAGTATACACCAGTTCATTTATCTCATTACATACTCTGGAATATAAGAACAATATTAAAAATGTCAATTCCTTCTATGCCGATATAAGATTTTATATAAAGTTTTGCTTTTTCTTTTTGAGAAACTTTCGTTGTTTAAACTCCACACACCCAAACACCTAATGGAAAATCTGACTGTGTCATAGACATCCATTCCATCAGCCTAAGCCAAGTGTCTCATGGAGCTAAACACTAAAATAATTTAAATAAAAGGCAAGCACTCATATATACACAAAATCATTCTAAAAATATTTACATGGCAAAGGAATAATAGAGAATCACTAAAATTGGCAATTGCTGCAGGTGTAATAATCCTCTCCAGACATCATAAGGAATCATGTAAGGTTTTAAAGTGAAAGTAATTGCAGAAGCATACTAAAATATTTAGTTTTCAGTTCTTACTATTGAAATGAGCCAGTAGATCATTAACAGTCCAAGATTTCAGGAGTCAACTACTCAGCTTAGTCTTTAATCAAATTTTCTTCAGCCTCACTGCAAAATGAAATTACAGAAAAGACAGAGTCCATCGGGAGGAGTAGGCAGGACTTCCGGCTTATCCCCCCTTGTAGAGACTGGTCAGCCGCTCTAGCTCTTTGCAGTTGTCCATGCTGAGAGCATCCGCCTTCCTCCGCAGCCGTTCATCACGGTACACTTTTGCTGCATACTGCATATCTGTTTCTGTAGACAAAATGTTCACCAATTACTAACCATTTACATCACCCTAGTTGCTTACATTTAAACAACACTTTAGAGAAGTTCATGTATGTACATACATATTTCTCTGAACTGCCTTTGAAGAAAGAATCAAGTATAATTCTCTCTTCTTTAAAACTTTTTTTTTTTTTTTTTTGGACAGGATCTCTACATAGACCTGGAAGTCCTGAAGCTCATGATGTAGACCAGACTGGCCTTGAACTCAGAGATTATCCTGCCTTTGCCTCTGAGTGCCATGATTAAAGGCCTGAAACACTACACCTGTCAGGTATTTTCTTTATATAACTTTACCTTGAGCTTAGCACACAGAACCAGCACCTACAGGAAATAAGGCTAGAGCCCCGCCATCTTCTCGAAGAGCCCTTCCTCTTCACCCCTCAGCCCAGTGGCTAAGACACTAGAATGCCCTCTCAGCCTTTTCTAAAACATCACCTGAAAAACAGGACTGCCAGGGCTCTGTGTGTTGTGGTTTGTGATAATTCCAACAGTTAAGAACACAAATTAAGTGTCTTTAATCCTAGAGCTCAGGAGGCAGAGGCAGGTGGATCTCTGAGTTCAAGGCCAGCCTGGTCTACACAGCAAGTTTCAGGACAGCCAGAGCTATATAGCGAAACCTCTCAAAAACCAGCCCCCGCCCCCCAGAACACAAATTAAAATAAACTCCTCCTCCCCATCTTCCTCCACTTTGCTTCTTCTTCATGAGAATAGGTTTCATTATATAGCCCAAGCTGGCCTCTAACTTGTGGTCCTTCAGTATCAGCACCCTAAGTGCCAAGACTGTGTGTGCTTTCACACATGGGGAAAAACTGGAAAATTCAGCATTCTCCCACATATATGCAAACACTGCCCACACACATCTTGGAAGAATAACCATCATTCTGTCTGCCAAAACTAGACGATAAGACCTTACAGATGGACATATCACATGGTTTGGCCACAGGAAAATCAAATGGTAATTGAGCTGGAAGCCTCCTCCTTCTAGATAGCTTTCACGGTGACATAAGGGGCTATAGAGGCTGATGAAGAATTATTATCAACAGTCTTACTCAGCTGTGAAGGTCTGCTAATCTGCTAGGCAGTATTGCCCATCATACAAGCACCATGGTTGTTATACGGTAACTGAGCACTTTCCAATTGGTACCGTAAACCTGGTCAAAAACCTATGGCTATGACATCATAGGCCCAGCTAGAGAAGCTATGCTGTTGTTTGGCTAAATGGATACAACAAACTTGTCTTTCAACACTTGTTTACACCCAGTGATTAACATGCCATCAGCTTTGCAATGGGCGGAGGTTACTGCAGACTCATAAATGATCAAAATATTGAGCCCAAGTGGCTGCTGAGGACTCAGCCCACCACGGGGCAGTCCTGTTACCCCTCCAAAGCTTGGAAGAATGGAAGGAAGGAAGGAAGGAAGAAAGAGCTGGAGAGACTGGAGGGTTGTCGACCCATGTTCACCAGGCATGGTATCATTGAACCTCAGTAGCTGTGATCTGCAAGGTCTGCACAACATTGGGCCCACCAGTATTCTTACTTGGAGGGGGCAGGAGGCTCCACCCCTCTCTGAGGATCTCTAACCAGATAACAGTTGGTAGGGGGAGAGCATCATGAGGGCCTGGCCCTCCCTGAGGGGCTATTTGCAGTTAATGGTTGCTGAGGGAAAATAAGAGAGATTTTCTTCAGTGGTGTCACAGAACAACTGCTAAGAGGCCCATGTTCCTGTAAATACCCATGCTTCTGAAAGTATACTAACTTACACACACACACACACACACACACACACACACACACAGAGAGAGAGAGAGAGAGAGAGAGAGAGAGAGAGAGAGATAAGAACAGAAGAAGAAAAGAGGGAGGGATCAGCAGGACTATGAGGGGAACAAGAGGCTAATGGGAGGTGAATATGATCAAAATACTTCATATACAACTATTAAATGTCACAATGAAACCCAGTATTATGTATAATTAATATATACTGTGGTAGCTTGAATGAAAATGGCCCCCATAGGCTCATAGAGTGGCACAATTAGGAGGTATGGCCTTGTTGGAGGGGGTGTGGCCTTGTTGGAGGGGGGGTGGCCTTATTGGAGGGGGTGTGGCCTTGTTGGAGGAGGTGTGTTACTAGAAGTGGGCTTTCAGGTTTCAGTGTTCAAGTGAGACCTAGTGTTGCTCTCTTTTCCTACTGCCTGCCAATTTAGATGCAGAACTCTCCCCATCTCTCCAGCACCATGTCTGCCTGCGTGACACCATGCTACCGCAATGATGACAACAGACTAAGTCTCTGAAACTGTAAGCCATCCCCAATTAAAAGTTTTCCTTTATAAGAGTTGCGTGGTTATCATGTCTCTTTCACAGCAATAGAAACCCTAAGACATATGCTAACAAAAATAAACCATAGCCGGGCGTTGGTGGCGCACGCCTTTAACCTCAGCACTTGGAAGGCAGAGGCAGGCAGATCTCTGTGAGTTTGAGGCTAGCCATGTCTACAGAGGGAGTTCCAGGACAGGCTCCAAAACAATACAGAGAAACCCTGTCTCAAAAAACCAAAAATAAAAAAATAAACCATAACTAAATACTAAATAACATTTAACACTGATTGGTATAAGCCACTATGTTAAATGCTTATTGAATAATATGTTATAATGATAAGGTAACTAGCTTAGCAAGAAGTAACTTGGTCTTCTAGCTAAAGTGTGACTGGAAGAAGACTTGTGTAAGGCTGTCTACTCAACAAAAATGTTTATTAAACACAGTAGGACAAGAGCCGGTTAGGAAGTTCCTACCACGTGCCAATTATTATGTTTTGTCACATGTATAAAAACCATCACAATCAACCCCCAATCGACATGTTAGAATGCTTCTAGGGTCTCCAGACACTAAAATACAAGGATGCTTACGTCTCTTACACAAAACATCTGTGTTTGCATAGCCTACACATATCCTTCTATGTATGTTGCCTCCATCTTACTAATGTTGCCTACTATGGTGGAGATGTCATGCAAATTGTTGTTACAATGGATGGCTTAGAGCACAATGACAACAAAAAACATTAGCACATGTTCAGGACAGATACAACTGCTCTCTTTCTGCAGAGTTTTGATTGACAGCTAGCTAACTGAATCCATGGATGAGGGATGCCTCAAACACAGAGGACTGACTGTACTTATTCGTGTTCTGGATTCCAACTATAAACCAGGTAGTTTCCCTCCTTTTTTTTTTTTTTTTTTTTTTTGTTTTTTCTGGACGGGGTTTTTTTTGTAGACCAGGCTGGTCTCGAATTCACAGAGATCGGCCTGCCTCTGCCTCCCGAGTGCTGGGATTAAAGGCATGCACCACCACAGCCCGGGCGTAGTTTCCCTCCTTAAGTAGTGAAATCTACAACAATAATTCCAAAGACTCTAAGTTTAGTTTTCTAGAATGGTAGAAACACTTGGTAAGACTTACTCTGCTGTCTTTCTTTCCAGCAGTTATTTCGGATATTAGTCACATAATCCTCTTCCACGCTCTTTTCCACCTTTTGTAACAGCGCTCCTTTATATTCGCTTTTAAAGTCCTTACTGACGTAATAAACAACACCCAAGTTTTCTGTCTGCATTTTAATAGTTTGTCCTGATCCACTGCAAAAGAGATACACCATCATTCTTCTTTTAAGACTACATCCTAATGTGCAAATCAAGAAGCAAAATAAAAGTAATTTAAAGTTAACATCAGTATTTGTTACATTTTTTTAAAGCTTTTCACAGAGTACACTGTTTTGGTTAAACTTATTTTATCTTCCCATCACTTAATTAAGCCATTCCCCACTTAATGAAATGAGCCGAAGACCAATCCTTTACTCCTTTTTCTTTTTGTCTTCATGTCAATATAGTAACCACTACATTAAATTCAAATTCAAACATAGCACTTTTGCTCTTACCCACAGTGGGACAAAAATGCACAACACCAAGATTCATACAAACATATCACTTATTTTAACTCTTTTTAAAATTAGAGATTTTCTTGTAAAAGAGTTGGCACTTATAAGCATCAAAGGACCCCTTCGAGGGAAGAAAAGAAACAGCAAGGATTAACTTGTGTAGGATTTCACTTACGATCTGGGATATAAGGAATAAGGAGGGTTAGAGACCATCAGCTGGCTTAACAATGACACGAGGATCAGAACGATAATGGGCATCAGCTGGATAAACACAGAAAAGCCTCCCTATAAAAAGACCAGAGACAACAGAGTCTATCGCCACTGTCAGCAGTCCAGGCGTTGCCATGCATTCTTACAGGTACAAAGGACATCTGGGCTATCTAAGGCAGTGCTTCCTGTTGTAATTCATAAAAATACAAACTCCCCAGGGCTTGAAAACTAATCTGACCTTACTTTAGAGATAAGGACCCTCCTCCTGCCATACACCCTGAGACGCCTGGGTTTATAAAAGGATATAATATATGCTGGAGCTGGGCTCAGGTCCCTTCCTGTCTAGTCTAGCGGCCTTTCCAATCCTTTCCTTTCCATGAAACTTGCTCACTCAATACAGGCAATCAGGTATACCTGCATTAGAACCAAGCAAAGGCAAAGATACTTCTAACTAAGGTTTTTCAGCATCATTTCTAAATCTTTCAGGATCTACAAAAAGAAGCACCTTGAGAACATGCAAAATAGATACACCATTGTCAGAACTGTGCACTAGCAAATCAGAAGAACCACACTGCACCACCACCCTCCCCGACCTCGACTTCTGCGACGGCATTATTCTCACAGGATTTGAGTCTCTTTTGAACACTTGCTAAGAAAAAACTCATTATTTCCTAAAACAACTTGCCCTATTTTTAGACAATTCTAATTGCTTTTCTGAACTAGAATTTGTCATTTTGAGATTTACAGTCACTTTAGAAACATACATCTCCTCTCTCTTCCTCTCTTTCATGTCCACTGTGTCGGTGCTGATGTTGATGGCTGTAAGCAGCCCGGCCATTTGAAAATGAGTGTACACTACCTAGAAAATGAAAACAAGGTTAAATTAGTGAACCATCATTTGCATTGATGAGACTAAAAGCACAAGCCACTGCACCTACCTTTCTTGAACTAAATTAACAGATGTTTGGTTTGAGCCTGTTTACTGCCTGATCTTATCTCCTCCTTTCAATCAGCTACCATACCCAGCTTTCTAAATTTCTTTGTGAAAATGGAATAAGAATTCCTTAACAATGCTACACACATGAAGGGCCATTATTAAGAAAATGTGGGCAAGGGCTCCTTAACAATGCTACACACATGAAGGGCTATCACTGTGGGTGATTGCTCCTACAAACCATAGGTCTTTATTCTGAAAATTCTGATTTCTGCACTTAAATGAATCAAACACATCTAGAAATCCAAAGAGATCCTTACAATTAATGTTTTTAAGATGCCAATATATTAAAGTATAAGTGGATCACTCTGGACATTCAAGTTGTTTTCAAATGGGGTGAAGAACCAGAAATGGCTATTATTGACAAAGTAAACCATGTTACAACTAACAGAGAACTGCAAATTAACTACTAAGAAAAAATTATTGCTTCAAAGATTTCTGACTATTCCCAACATATTTTCAGTCAAAACTCCTAGTTTTAGTAACTTTTTTTGGAGGTAACATATTCTAATTTGTCAAGACACAGGCTAAAGTTTTTTTAGTCTTCACTTGTATTTTTACAACTCAGGGATGACTTGCAAAAATGTCCCATCAATGACAACTGTCTTTCTCTACTCTGAAAGGTACATTTTACTCAGCACCCTAAATCAATGCCATAAACAAGCCTAGAGCCTAAAGAACTATTCTTAAATTCATATCTACTGAAACAATTCACAGTAAATGAAAAGAAGAGTTTATACTACTTATGCCAGCCCTGTAAGATCTACTCATTTAGTGGAAAACTGTATTTCCTGTCAGCATCGGTTAAGTGGCCGTTCCTACTGTACCACAATAAAAAGGCACCTAAAGAGTTCACTTATAAATCGAACCAACTGTCCATTACTTCAATGAAAACACAGATGGAGACATTTACATACATTGGCATTAATAGTCTAGGCACTCATGTCAATCACCCAACGAAGGTACCAGATGCTTCCCCTAACTGTAACCATGGTGATGAACCGCCTCTGTGTCTCCAGCCTATCTATACTCCTTTTCTTCACTTTTTTATAGGACAAGTCATCTGTACTCTTCACCTCCTTTAATGAAAGTTTTCTCTAGGAAAAAGACAGGCTTAGTAATAGTGGTAACCCTTAATGTTTTCCCTCCTTTGATAGAAAGCCAGCACTGTAGAAAACAGGGGAGATACTCATGCTGAAGCCTGTAACCCCAACACTTGGGAGACCAAGGCAGGGGTTGTTGTAAGTTAGAGATTAGCCCGGGTTACACAAGGAGTTCCAGGCTAGAGTGAAACTGTCTCAAAACAGAACAAAGCCCAGACGAGAATGGAGATCTTTATGAAGTCTAGCCGAGGAAGTAAAATGAGCTTGGAGTACCTGAAGGGAATCCACCACCAAAAAAGATATTGAACAGGTCCTCCGGAGTTATGTCAGCTTCACAGCCTCGGTGGAAGTTGAACCTGCCGTTGTTTTGGTGATTACAAGCTTGTTCTTCACTGCCTGTGAGGTCATACTGTTTTCGTTTCTCTGGATTGCTTAAAACCGCGTAAGCATTTCCGATCTCTAAAAAAGCAACAAGCAGCAGCATTGGAAAGCAATGTCTTCAGTCTGTAGAGGATTGTCCCCATACAGCAGCATCAACTCAAACACTACTTGAAACCAATTGAGAAAAATCACAAAACCGCAATGATTTCTTTTAAGTATTATGTGTATATTTTGCAGCATCACAAGCTATCTCTTTACACAAGCTAGCTTTCTGTACTAGCCAAATCTTCCCACTGCCTTGAAAATAAAGGGATTGCCGTCTATCCCCCTGAAGCATTGAACCATAGCCTTTAAATCCCTGCTCCCCCACTCTGAGTTCGCAAATTATGCCAGGCAAGATTGTTCAACCTACACACCATGGATGGAGGTCACATACCTTTAATCCCAGCACATGGGAAGCTGAGGCAGGAGGGTTAAAAGTTCAAGGCCACCCTTACAAACAAGACTGTTTAAAACAATCTCAGTGGGATCCACCATGTATTGAGAACCAACAATTTTTGCACTTCACTGGTTAATATCATCCCCGTTGCAGTAAAGATCCAAGGCTTACTTGCTATGTAAGTTGCTTGGGGTCAAACACTCAGCAAATAGACATATCCTTTACTCCAAGACATCTCTGCTGGAAATCTACTTTTCCTTTTTGCACATTACCATCCATTTTATTTCTGAACAACTTGTTTTCCTTAAGATAAAAACCCCATGTGAGAGTAGGGACTGTCTATACCTCTACTGCTCAGGGGTCCAGCATAAAGTCTTACATGTTGTTGCTATTGTGTTTTGGTTTGTAATTGGGTCTCACTATATAGCCCAGATTAGTCTTGAACTATTAACCCATTTGGTGCCGGTGCAAAAATCATGAATGCCTGCAGCTCCTTATTATTTAGAGAATTAAATACAATTTTTATTTTGGTGTTCAAAACTTTACAAGTTCTAACTCTCTGTCAGTTTTTGCACATAAAAAAGGCCTTTCTTTTTTTCTTCAAATGTTTTAGTTTGTGGCAATTACAGATTCATGCACAGTTTTAAAATATAAAAATAGAGATTCTCTACACCTTTTTCCTAATTTCTCCTAGTGATAACATCTTATCAATTATAGTGAAATATCATAAAAGGAGTACTGACATTAAGTCAATAGAACATTCTATGGCCATCTTTAGAGTACTCTTCACATGTGTGTGTACATGATATGTGTTAGGGACACATAGACCATGGTACAACCTGATCGAGTTGGTTCTTTCTGACCACCTTTCTGTGGGTTCTGGGAATGGAACTTGGGTCACTGGGTTTGCATGGCAAGCACCTTTATACTAACTGAACCAACCATCTCACTGGCACTAAGGTGTCCTTTTTTTTTTTTTTTTTTTTTTTTTTTTTTTTTTTTTTGGGTTTTCTGAGACAGGGTTTCTCTGTGGCTTTGGAGGCTGTCCTGGAACTAGCTCTTATAGACCAGGCTGGTCTCGAACTCACAGAGATCCTCCTGCCTCTGCCTCCCAAGTGCTGGGACTAAAGGCATGCACCACCAACGCCCAGCTAAGGTGTACTCTTTTACAACCACATTCAATTCCTGCTCCATCCTGCTTCTCTTCAATCCCTGATAACTACTCAATGTTGGCCGTCTCTCTAGGATGCTGAAGGCCCAGTTGGGGGTCACGTATATAATGTAAGCACATGAAGACTGAGACAGAAGGACTCTGAGTTCAAATTCAGCCTGGGTTAGTCATTGAGATTGTCAATATATATATATATATATATATATATATATATATATATATGTGTGTGTGTGTATATATGTGTATATATATATAGATATAGATATATGATTACTTCATATAAGTGAAACTCTTTGCAACTGACTTTTCAATGAGCATAGAATCCAGACAAATCCAGCAGAAGTGTGTTCATTTTTATTACCACATACTACTCCATGGTATGGCTACAGTACTGTTGGGTTAACTGCTCATCCCCTCAATGACAGCTGGGCTCCTTCTAGTTTGGGGTTATTACAATAAAGCTGCTATATGCCTTTACCACAGGTTTATGTATAAATGTAAATGTTCATTTCTCTGGGATAAATGCCAGGAGTACATTGCTCAATTGTATGGTAGCTCAGAATTAGTTTTTTGATCAACTTCCAAAGCTGTTCTGTAAAATGATTCTCATTTTACTTCTCTTCAACATTACATGAATAATCCATTCCATGCACTCAGAACCTCTAAAGGGGGCCAGGACACTTTTCTGTGCTAGCCAGGATGACAGGTTAGGTGCACAGCGCTACCTGCTATCTTGGTTTCACTCTGAATCTCTCTAGTGGCAAAGGATGCTGAAGTCTTTTCATGGGCTCCTTTGCCAGGTGCAAATTACCTTCAATAAAATGTCACTTCCTTTATGTACTGCCATCGTGCTTTCCTTCACATGGGTTCTAGGGATCGAACTCAGGGCACTTTACTGAGTCACCTCCCCTTCTGTGCATTTTTAATGATAATTGTAGAAGCTTGTATTAGCATACATTAATTATGCATAATAAAGGGTCTCACTATGACATTTTCATATGTGCAGACATAATATATCTGATCATATTCATCCCCCTTAGCCTCCCACCCACTCCCACTCAGCCTGTTTTCTTCCCAACTGCCCCCCCCACTTCTACGTTCATGTTTTAAACTGTTTTTAAACATATTTCGTGTGTGTGTGTGTGTGTGTGTGTGTGTGTGTGTGTGTGTGTGTGAGTGACGCACGCATGCAGAAGTCAGAGGACAACTCGGTTTATGTCTTTAATCTCCAGAAGGTTGACTGTGATGTCTCTGCTGTAATTTCTTTTGCTTTAACTGCTTGGGGCTCATTCAATTTCTCATATTTAAAAACTTGCATTTTGGGGTCAAGTTTGGGAAGTCTCCAAACTTTCACTATCAGCACTTTCAGCTCCGTCTTCCTCCCCATTTTCAGGACCGCCACCCCCCAGACGTGAGCATTAGATCTTCTGTTATAGCCATGGTCTCTGAGGCTGTGTCTTCAGCCCTCTATTAGAGTCTTGTTCAAAGTGTCAACTTTTCTGTTGTCTAGTTCATCTGTTCTTTACTCGTTCTGCCTTTTCTTCCATTCATTCATTAGCAGGCATTTCAGATCTTTACTTTTAATAATGAATTTCCACTTTCTTTAGCTTCTGTATTTCTTTTCTCATCTTGTTTCTATTAGCTCACTTACGTTCATTCTTCAGAACACCTGTATCATAGCTACAGCAACAGCTTTACTGCGAAGTTCTGACTCTTCTGTCCTCTCCATGTGGGTGTCTAACAGACTGAGTTCTTAAAATTCCATGTGAGGTCCTGGTTCTTGGAATGATAAGAGATTTTCAATTGAAATTTTGTTATTTCGTCTATCACAAGGTGCTGCTCTTTAACGTCTTTTCCTTGTACCATTCCAGTGGCGTAGGGGACACTACCTCACCACTTTCAGGCAGGTTCCTTGCCCCTCAGATCTGACGACGCCAAGTGTGGAGTGGGAAGCTCCTCACCAATGCTGGGAAGATATGGGCTTTCCAGACTCATAGGACTATAGCTGTCTCCTGGCTAGAAAGAGAATGGGTACCTCATGGTTGCTCTCTGTGTGGTTTTACTGACACTATGAGGCTATAGCTTTGACACTTCCAGACGGTGATCACCATGTCATCTGTAATTCCCCTTGTGGTGGTAAATCTAAACTACCAACATGATTAGACTAAAAACTGCCTAGGATATTGGTAAAGCAATGCACTGATTAGTAGGTGCTGAGGGTAGGACGTGGGGCCCAATTGGAGGAAGTATGCCATGTGAGTCATGCCGTTGGAGTGGTATCTTACTCTGGCTTCCTTCTTGTATCTCTTTTCTTTGCTGTCTTTCTACCATTCTGTGAATAGCCTTGGCATGGCATGCCATGTACTTTCCCTTCATGATAGACAGACACTTCTTAAACCATATACCAAAGAAATCTCACCTCCTCTGGTCAAGCTGGTGTGAAAGTAACTAATCTGCCATCCCAATAGGGAGGAGAATGGCTGTTCATCTCCAGGGAAGCAGGGGTTTGGCCCCACACCATCCCACTGACACTGCGGAAGGAAAGGCGGGAAATGTGGCATGAATGAAAACTGAAGCTTTTCCTGAGGCTGGAGAGATGGTCCAGCCGTGAAGAACACTGGTTCTTACCGAGGACCTGGGTTCAGTTCCCAGCACCCACATGGTGGCTCACAACCATCTGAAAGTCCAGCTCCAGGGGATCTGATGAGGACACCAGACACATATGTGGTGCACATACATACATGAAGGCAAAACACTTACACCTAACAAATAAGTAGTTGGAAGGAAGGGAGGAAGGGAGGGAGGGAGGAAGGAAGGAAGGGAGGAATGAAGCTGAAGCTCCCAGTTACCCCTCTGCCACTGTTCCTTCAGGGCTGATAGTCTAGTATGGGTCACTATGAGGCCAATTTCTTCTGTAGTATTTGAGCACTATGGAACAGCTACTGCTTTTTTCTTCTATATTTCTCCATGTTTTGGGGTTGCCAAGTCCTCCATCACTTAAATTTGGAATATGTAAGGACAGATCTACCAGACATTCAAGTGTGCCCTGCCACACTGCTCCCTAGTTCTGAGTACTGTGTTCATAGACCTACTCACCACCTGTGGAAAACCTATGTCCACTTGACCTATTCATTGTATAATGTTCAAGCTTTTCATCTACCTGGTATGAGGAATAAGGTCAAATTACCAATTCCATCCAAAAGGCCACTGGTGTTTAAACTACTCTGCCTCATTCTCACATCTAAGCCTTTACCCTTCCTCTCTTCTCTAACCATAAAAATCAACCATCTCCCAAAAGAACGGTTCTCACTCAAGATCTGAATGCCTGTTCAGTGACTTATCCTAATGCCACTTCATTTTTCACCGTCTTTTCTCTTTTATGGCACAGGGGATAAACTACTCATGAACGCTCTATAAATGCTGAACACTTAGCTATATACACAGCTCTTTAAAGAAATAAAGGGGTGGGGCTCTTAATAAGTTACTGAAGCTGTCTTGTATGCAGTCTGCATTCTGCAGTTCCAGCGAGCCTTGAACTTGTGACCCTCCTGTCTTAGTCCCTCAAGTGCCTGTGATCAGTTTTCACACACCGGCTCAGCATCACCTGTCTTTCTGGTGTTTCCTCAGCTACCTTTTTCTGCTTGGGTATTTAATTACAGTGAGTCTCCTGGGAGACATGGGATAAGCCAGTTACTCTTTCTCCATTTTCTCATTTATGAAACAAGGGTGACACTAGCCCCATGACTATCTCACTTTGTTGGGGAAGATGTGGTTGAGACAGGCCTCACGGAACCCAGGCTGACCTGTAGGCATCTGAGGGTGCCCTCGAACTCCTGATCCTCCTGCCTCTTTCACTCAAGTGCTGAAATTACAGATGTGTGCCATGAAGTATGGTCTCACAGGGATTTTAAGGAACATTAAATGAAAACAAAAAGGGAAAAAAAGGAAAAACCAGAAATGAAAAACTACTAGATTTTGGCATCACTTTGCTGTGACTCTTGTGTGTGAAACACTGCTTCCTTTCATGAGTTACACATTCTGTGAGGATGAGGGGATCTCAAATCCCTCATTTATGATAAGCAAAAGCCCCAAAGGTAGTGATTAACTTCTTTGTTCTGAGAGACTTGCTTTTGAATCTCCAATGTTAATATTAAACTACCAAACCTAGCACTAGCCATAGAACATGATCCGTAATTATTTATGAAACAAATGGCTAGTGCCCTCTGCTATGACTCTGGTGTATATGCTGATAATGTAACAGTTTGACATACCTCAGTCTTGAAGGATAATCTGTACTTGTTTTGTTGGGTTTTTTTTTTGTTTTGTTTTGTTGTGTTGTGTTTTGCTTGTTTGGTGGTGATGGTGGATAATGAACAAAAGGCCTTGTGAATGAGAGGCAAGTGTCATTGAGCTACACCCCCTCAGGTCCAGGTATGCTTTAGTGGTGTTTATGCCAGAGAGAACAGAGGGAATCCACGCCACTGGAATAATTTGTAAAACATGGTAAAGTATGTTGTGAAAAGCATTCTGCATAGTAAATATTTCTCTGCTTTGGTAAACTGAACAAATTTCATGGAAAGACAAAATAGCCACATTTAGTCTACTGTTGTTAGGAGTATTTTTGTTTGCCTTACAAAACATTAACTTAAGTCCCTAATCTAATTATGTTTATTTTTCTGTTCATGAACAAAATAAAATGCAAATGACTTCCACTTTCTATAAAATAATATTTCAGTGTAATCACGTTAGTTTTCATATAAAAGACCAAGGTGGGGCTAATGCAACAGCTCAGCAGATGAGGGCAGGCACCTGCCGCAATCCCCAGGACTCACATGGTGGAGGGACAGAATCTACTGCAAATTGTCCTCTGATATCCACATACCAGTGTGCTCACACCTGAACACATGTGCAAGCATGTGCGTGCAAACACACACAAATAAATAAATAGAATTTTTTTAAAAAAAGAAGAAAAATAAAACAATGCCTCTGTTTAGGGAGAAATGGCTTGATATCTCCAAACAAAGACTGATTAAGACTACAATCAGATATTATGTCACAAATGAAGCCTGTCTTTGCGACAAAACTGACTACAAGACAGCTAACTACATTCGCTCACTGAAAATCTATGGGTTCCAGCTTGGAGTTTCTGTCCAGTTTCTCCTGGGTGAAAACTGGCTCCTGAACTCTCAATTCTAATCCCTTGAGGACCAGTAAGATGGAATTCTGAAGTATAGATAACCACCCGTAGTCTGGCTGTGTGAGCCTCTCCCTAGAGGTCACCATCTCCCTGCATGCTGATCAGTATCATTTCTCCTTTAAAAAGCAGAGCATTAAACCACGACTATGTAACACCCAGCCTTTAAAACCATCTTTTCGAGACCCCACTGAGTGCATGGCTGGCTTTGTCTGGGACATTGTGCTGTTTGCTGCTTCAAAGGGACAACAGCAACTACTGCAATACAAGCACCTGCATTCTTAGGGTTTTTATAAGACCAATAATGTTCACATGACCTTGCTGTATAAGTGGGAGAAACCAGTTTAACCAGCATTCTTTGTTTTTATTATTATTATTATTATTATTATTATTATTATTATTTTATTTTGGTACTAGAGACCAAATCTAAGACCTTGTGCACACTAGGCAAACATTCAACCACCCACCTACAGCCACAGACAGCCTAATATTCTTTTCTGTTGGTTTTCAAGTTTTTATTTTATGTGTATTAGTGTTTTGCCTGAATGTATCCATGTGCCTGTGAGCTACTGATGCCTACAGAAGCCAGAAGAGGGCATCAGGTACCATGGGACTGATGTTACAGCCATCATATGGATTCTAGGACTCAAACCTGGGCCTCTGGAAGAGCAGCCAGTGCTCTTAACAGTTAAGCCATTTCTATACGTTGTTTGTTTAATATTCTTTCTTTATTTTTGGTGTTTTGAGACAGGGTTTCTCTGTGTAGTCCTGGCTGTCCTGGAACTCACTCTGCAGACCAGGCTGGCCTTGAACTCACAGAGATTTGACTGCCTCTGCTTCCTGAGTGCTGGAACCAGCACCTCCTGGTTTGTTTATTATTTTTTGACATAGTTCTGTAGCTCTGACTGACCTTGAACTCACTATGTAGCCAAGGAGACCTTGAGTTCCTGTTCCTGCTTCACCAGCTTCTACCTCCCAAGTGCTGGGATCACAGGTGTGCACAACTACATGTGGGGCCAAGCCTAACATTCAAACATTAGGAAGAATTACCTAGGAAGTAACATTAGGAAGTAAATTACTATTTACTCTTATGATGATCAGTAAGATCTTACTGATCTTATGAGTGTTCTTGCCTGGATGCTTGTACCACATGGGTGCAGTGCCTGTGGGACCATTAGAGGGCGTCAGATCCCCTAGAACTGGAGTTACAGACAGTAATTGAACCTGGGTCTTTGGAAGAGCATCATGGACTTTTAACCACAGCACCATCTCTCCAGTGCATGGAGAATTACTGATAACACCAGGCGATCACAAACATTGGGATCACAAAAATACGTCTAAGCATTTTGAAACAAAAGACTCGTCATTTTATTAAGTTTGTGCTGACACTTTTATACACCTGTAGAATGTATTCTGAGTGACGACACTGCCCAGCCTCTCCTATGTTCCTCTCCTACACTATGTCTTTCTTGTGTGTGAGCTGCTGAGTTTAACCAGGGCCACCCCTGTGATCATGGGGTTGGCACTAACCATCAGTCTGGTGGGCTCATGAGACAATGAGAAGAATTTAAACTAAACTGTTGAACTGTTCAAATACAGTTTCCCATAATTCCTTTTTCTTAGCTTTTTATTTATTTGTGTGTGCATGTAATAGGATGACCTGTGGGAATCAATTCTCTCCTCCCACCCCCTGAGTCCAGACTCAAACTCAGGTTGCCAGGCTTGGCGGCAAGTGCCTTTACCTGCTGAGCTATCTTACTTTCCGCAGGCTTTCCAATACTTTCAACACACCTCTGTTAAGTTAAGGAAACACCACTTTGGCAGTGCTTTCACTGGAATATATTACTAATTCCCAGATGTATTTTCCTTGGCAACTTCCTTCAACAAATAAGACTGTTCTGTAAACAATATCTTCCCTCCCCTACCCACCTCTCTCCAGCTATGACGGGAAAAACAAAAACAATGTTATAGTGCATAGCCCTGCTGGCCTGGAACTTGCTGTGTAGACTAGGCTGGCCTCAAACTTGTGACCCTCCTGCCTCAGCCTCCTGAAAGCTGGGGTTATAGGCATGCTCCACAATGCCTGGATGGTAACAATTTTATGAAGGACCAAACAAGTCTTTTGTGACACATTGAGGATGTAAGTGCCTCCTTCATTCCACCATGCTACTGAAAACAAACACTGGCTCTATGAATATCAAAATCACAAGACTCAACAGTCACAAAGTTACATGTTTCACTATGGATAACACATTAATCTTTACAATAAACTATAACAAAATATGAAATTATTGCTATTGCTCTCTTATTTAATAATAAGCCCAAGGCACAGGAATCCTACTGCCAGCAGCCCTATCTTTCAGAGAGGAGCCTCCCTGGAAAGACGAAGTTAGAGGAAGCATGGGGAAGGAAGGGTAATGGAGAGAAGAGACAGTCACGTCTCTTTTATTACGACATACAAAATAGGAAATTATGAAATCAGTTACCTTTTATTCATATTTTATATAATACTTACTAAACTCACCAAAACTTAAAAGAATACTGGGGAGTGAAATAAAAAAAAATACAGACAAGAGATAGGAAATCAACTTTGAAGAAGCAAAAGGAATCTTATTACTAGAAATACACACAAGGAATGGAGAATCGTGCTGTGTCTGTGACCTCGGCACTCAAAGCGGGAAGACTGCTAAGTTCAAGGCCAGCCTGAGTTGCACAGCAAGACCCAGGTTCATAAACCCCAGCTCAGCAAACCGCATGCTTGCCTACCATGTACATGGCCCTGGGTTTGAACTCCAGCATCCTAAAACCTGGCCAGTGTCACAGAAAAATAAAAACACTACCATCATTCTTAGAATAGACTGTCTAGAAAATCCTGGTTCCAGACTATGTCCAGGAAAAACTTCTTAAAGCTGTCTCTTTCAGTTAACTTGGAGCCAGATGTCAATGCAAACCCATCAATCTACCTCCTCAAACTAAACTAGAAAGCATGCATGCTGTCTAGAAAAGTTACTAAGGATTGCGAATATCAGCCACACTGCATTTGCTTGGCTGAGTACTGGAAGCGAGTACTAAAGTTTTGAAGGATCTTTAGCAGTCCTTAAGCTGGTCTCTAAATGCACAGTAGAAAAGCAGACTCTCACATTCTGGAACACTGTAAAGTGCATTCTAAAGAAGACCGTGTTGAAGCTTTACAAGTTACTTTACTTTTGAAAGCATCCGTGGCTCCAGGGGCATGGTTTTTGTCTGGATGGAACTTCAAAGCGAGCTTCCTGTAAGCTTTTTTCAAGTCTTCATCAGCAGCATCTTTCGTAACTCCGAGAACTTCATAGTAATTTTTACATTTGTTTATGCTGTGAACAAGAAAGGTATGATGTAAATTTCAAGCAAGAGCACAATGTCACTATTAGAATGGTACACGGAATTTCTGTGGATGTAATGATCTAGCCACTCTGTGTGTTCAATTCTCTTCAGTACACAGACAATTCCTCCACCCATGAGAATGTCCGCATCATCGTTTATCAAAGCTACAGGGAAATACAGCCCATGGTGATACAGATGAAGGACAGTACACTCACCGCAGCTAGAGTGCAAGAAACTCCTCAAAAGTGTGTCACAACTAAGGATCGAACACTGTAACAACTGTCAGTGCACGGTGCAGGGCTACCATCTACACAGGAGCTGTGGTGCTCTCCCGTGTGAAGCCGAGACAAGCTAACTCCACATCACTGCCATTGACAATTTACCTAAGTTACTCTAAAAGATCAGGGCCCCTGTGCTAATAAAACATTCAAAAGTGATAATGGAGATTAAAGAATGCTTGTTACATCCAATTTCCATCAGTGCATTCCTAGAGACTACTTAATACAGTCCATTTTTTAGGTCTTCATGAAGGCTTGCACACTGAAGTCTGGAGTGTTGAAAGCATACTGGGAAAAGCAGAGAAACATTGAAGGGATTAGAGAGCACCGAGAACTCTAGGATGGCAACACCAACAACTAAATTACCTGGCACCTGAAAAGCCAAGGTAGGTATAAGGGCTGGGAGTGGAGCTCGGTGGCTGAGAGAGCACACAGCATTCGTGGGTGAGTCTCTGGGCTGGTCTCCAGCAGATGTGCATGCCTTTGTACAATATTTTGTAACTGGAACTGTGTCCCATATTCTGTGTCTTGAGAGCATGACCACAGGTAAGCTACCAGGGAGAGCTGGTCACTAGGGGAGAAACTGAGAAGACATGAGGGAGAAAGGGAAAGGGAAAAGGGGGACAGAGCCCAAGAGGAAAAAAAAAAACACAGGAGTTGAGGCCAGTTTCACCATCACAGTGCTTGCTACTCAACAGGCACCTTGACTCTCACTATATAATGACATCATCCATGATGAGGAAAGGGAAAAGGGGGACAGAGCCCAAGAGGAAAAAAACAACAACAAAAAAAACAAAAAACAAAAAACAAAAAACAAAAAACAAAAAAAACACAGGAGTTGAGGCCAGTTTCACCATCACAGTGCTTGGTACTCAACAGGCACCTTGACTCTCACTATATAATGACATCATCCATGATGCATTGGAGAGGAAACAGGAGAAGGGACCATTACAGAAATTACAGTTTTCTTGGAGATGCCAGTGCTAGGGGATGGTCACCAAGGACAGCAGCAGCTGTGGCATGGAGCTGGCCTCAGTCTGGGAGACTCCCTACATGCTCATTGGAGCCTACAAGACCAAGTCCCAGAAGACTGACATTGAACTTCACAGTGTGGGAGGGACTTCAGTTTTGCTTTGATCTGATTTTGACTGTGCTCTGATTCTTTCCTCTGGGAGTAGGAAAAGTACTGAATTTACTTATTTATTTATTTTACAGGAGCCCACGGTTGACAGATTTTGAGCTTTTATAGAGACTTTGGTGTTTTGGAAAGACTTCGGATATTTTATTTTTGGGGATAGGGTCTCTCTGTGTAGGCCTAGCTGTCCTGGAACTCTCAAACTTACAGAGATCTGCTTGCCTGTGCTTCCAGAGTGCTAAGATTAAAGGCATTCACTACTATGCCTTTTGGATTTTGGATATTTTAAAGAGACTGAATTTTTAAGGCTTGAATTTTAAAGATTTTCAGACACTTAAAGTTTTGAATATGTTTCATATTGTGATACTGTTATTGATGATATCTTGGGGACAATAAGAAAAGTTATGGCTTAACAGTGATTTGTTTGTGCATTAAGTTGACAAAGGGTCAATTGTGATGAATAGTTTTATGTCAACTTGACACAAGCTAGAGTCAATTTTAGAAGCGGGAACCTCAATTGAGAGAATGTCCCCACCAGACTGGCCTGTGGGCAAGCTTGTGGTACATTTTCTTGATTGATGATGATGGAGAGAACTCAGCTCACTGTGGATGGTCCCATCCCTGGGCTGTTGGTCCTGGGTTCTATAAGAAAACAGGCTTTTTGCCATAGCCTTTATCACAGCAACAGAAAACCAAAGGCAAAAATCTAAGTCAAAGTCCTTCAGGGATTCGTTTTCCTAGACATACTTAGAACTATGTGTTGGGAAGGTGTGGTGGTGGAAGGTGGAACTGCAGAGCACCTACTAAGTGCCAGGTGCAGTCCATGGGCACTACAGGTGAAGATAAGGATTGGCTGAAGATTGCCACCCTAGTTTGCTTTCTGCCGTTGGGACCAAAATCAACTTGGTGATGGAAGGGTTCATCTTAGCTTACACTTCTGCCTAAGTCTGTTACTGAGGGAAACCCTGCGCTCAAGCAGGAGCTAAAGCAGAGACCACACAGAACCCGGCTTACTAACTCACTCACCCTGGCTCACTCGTGATTGCTCTACAGTGTATAATGTAACCT